TTCCCATTTAAGTGAACCTTGGTCATTCGATCACTAGGACCGTAGCTGATGAAGCGGCAGCCATTTTGACTATTCTACTTGTTGCTCGGGAAAGCTGGGCCGGAGAGGAAGAGAGTGGCCACGCTGTAGACGTGCTATTCGTGGATGTTTCGAAAGCTTTTGACACTGTTCCTCATCTTCGGCTGACTAAAGTTGGTATCTTTCGTTATACCTGGTCGCGCCATTCGATGGGTGCCGGCTTTTCTGGAGGGGATGGAATAGTGCGTACGGGTGGGGCGTAGCTATTCGCTCAGGTAAGCTGTCCTTATTGACTACCCGCAGGGCTAAGTATTGGGCCACTGTCGTTCGTGACCTACGTAAATGCCTTGCCGGGTGAGCTAGGAGCGTCATCACTAAGGTTTGCTGTCGACCTTAAGCTTTGAAACATCGTGGATATTCCGGGCGTCAAGTGGCAATTCAGCGTGCTTGGGATAGACTCTGGGAATGGTCTACCTTACGCTTGATGCCCATAAATAGTGCCACGTACACTATTCTCCGAATGGGTGCTGCTAATCCTCATACCCAAAGTGTTGTCGACGGTGGTGAACTCACTATTGTTGCTTAGCAGGTTGATTTAGGGGTCGTACACTCGTCAGCACTTCGTGTTGGCGACCGTTAGAAGAAGGCTGCTTGTTGGGGGGTTGGTATGATGTGGTTTATCCGACGCGCTTTTGGAATCCTAAAAGCCAATTTGCTTTTTTTGAATCTATTCTCGGCCTTTGTCCGACCCCACCTGGAAAATTGTATCCAGGCTTGTCCACCACGTCTTAGCGGAGAGAACATGGACTTTGAGCAGATGTTATGAGCGGACACGCGGTTAGTGCAGGGTCCAGGGGGACAGACGTATCCTGAACGGTTGCTCAGTTTGGGGATGTACTCCATGAACTACCGAAGGATAAGAAGGGACCCGCTTCTCACTTATCGTATTTTGACGGACAGGATAGACCCGGTCATGTCCTGGCTATATAGCCCCGCTAGGTTACCTACTCTCTGCGTTCAACCACTGTAACTGCATAAATCACCATCTGATAGGATTAGGCAGGAAAATCGCCGAGTTATAGATCGATGGCATTCCTTTCCAGATCACGTGGTTAGGGGACCTACGGTTAAGGCGTTTGTGCGCCAGCGCGATGCCCTTGGGTGGCAACCCCAAACCTTACCTTTTCCTAATCGATTCACTGTCGCATTTCAGTTCTGTTTTACTGACGCAAATAGCTTGGTATTCTAGTGCTTAGCATGTTCCACTTTCTTTAGTACCTTCAGAGTTTACCTTTTTCTGTTTCTTATTTCAAGTAACCGGCCCAGCAAGGACTGCTAGGGCAGGATGCGTGAGCATTAATTAGTTGGACGGGGTGTGATGCGATCTTTGGTTTAGGTCCATCAATATTACAAGTCTGCAAACCACTGGTTCAATGACCAGCCGAAGAAGGAAGACTCAGGTTATATTGGCTCTGGTCCCGCTGAACTTGAACTTCAACGTGGGCCAAGTCCAAATATTCACTTCATCATGGAGAACGTTCTTAGAGCCGTTAGCCCACAAAGCGCAAGCCCTGATGAAAGATTTTTGGCGTTGTGCATCGTTCAATTTTTACCAAGGGGTAACCAATCGATAGCCCAGGTGGAAACGTAATACACAACCAACAAATATTGGATGAGCAAAACCAAAATGACGCCAAAGCTACAATTCATATCGCAAGAACTGAAATTTTAGCCTGCGCTTAATTAAACAATACTGCATAAGATGTGCGAGCTGTATAACTGCATCTTGAAGGGCCGCTAACTTCGCAAGCGGCGGTATTTGTACGGACAAGCGAGTACTGTTAGTGCAGGATAGCATGACAGTAAACATAATTGGTCAGTTTGATATGTGCTAAAGCAGGTTTGATGCATATAGCGTGGCAACCCAGCAACTAAAACGGCAAAGCAACTTTTTCCACATCCGAACATTAATGGCCGCTGAAATGGTTTTAGTGTTTCAGGCAAAATGGCTCTAATTTGACGGTGCTTTTGGGTGTGTCAGCCAAAATGTAAATGATTCAGCGGTTGGAGATGAAATATATTTATATGGAATGCCGTGCGATTACTAATTGGGCTGGTGTGCTATTTGCGCATATTTCTCCCATCTTGCACTTTGTTGGAAACGGACCTAAAGCGACAAACTCAGTTGGTACTTGTACCCCATGTTGGATGACACTTATTTCTATTGTGCTATCGTTACTGAGCGCAGCGAAAGCGCAGTGGAACTGGAGGATGCGGTGCATATATTTTATTTCTCATCGTTATCCAGCTTTTCCAAGTGTTCGGTGGTTACTCCGCAGCGAGTAAATAAATATATAAATGTTTTATTACATACCGTGCAGGACACGCCTAAAATGGCATGGTCGTAGTAATACAGAGCGCATAATCAGTAATTGTCACAAGTCTGGCTATATAAGCAGTATATATTTGAATTACGTTTTATGTGCATATGTGAGTGCATGGGTTAGTAATCGTGCTGAGTGAAGATGTTACGGCTTGCTGAGTTTATGGTTGTGTTTGGTGTATTCGGCAACATGGGAAGGGCTGAAATAATACCTTCCAATGGGCTGTTATACGTGGGTAGGGTAAGGTCCTGCGGAAAGGAAGGAAGCAGTGTCTACTTAGTGGCAAGTCATGTCCGCCAAGTCAGAGGGTTGCTAAACAGACTTTGTGGCTTTTACAGGGAGACTGCTCGCCATGCGGAAACCTGCCACGTCTTGGAACACTGCCGCCGAACCATACGCTGGAACAGTGTTCAAGTTCAAGATGGTCTGGAACGATAGGATGAATCCAGTAAGTGTTCCTTCTTGAGCGGGCCATCGATCCAGGAGTTGATAGGGGTGCTCCGACTTCTCGATGGCTCTAAAAGGAAAACACCCGATAAAACACCCTGGTCCACCAAATTAATGCCCACGTTCCTTACATTAGCTGTGTCTGCTATGCCAGTTACGTGCAGTAAGTAAGGGAGGCAGAAAAGCAAAGATAAGAGAGTAGGGGAAATTAGTTAAAAGAAGGGAATAATACCAATGGCGAGGAAAAGTAAAGAAAATAGAATCGAAGTATGAAGATGGAAATTAGTCAGGAAAAAGGAAAGGTGTCGCATTGCTACCCATGAGCGTCTAGTTGCCGCTCAAACCCGTTAACCGTAACTTCCTTGACAACATTTCCTGGAAGCAGGTTCCAGCGCTCGATGACTCTACGCGATGACCGTGTCTCCGCTCTAATTCAATCGGACCGCGATTTGCCCAGTTTTATACAATGCCCACGGAGACCAGATAATCAAGCAGGACTAGATAGCCAGGACAAATCAACGCCAACCGTCCCAGTCAAAAGACGGTAGGTTAGGATTAGGTCCCCTCCAATCCTTCGATAGTGCATTGACTGCATCCCCAAACTAAGTAGGCGTTCGGGGTACGTTTGTCCTCGTAATTCCTTGACCAACCTAGTGCCGACAAGCAACACCCTTTCTAGTACCAATTTGCCCACTCACAGTCATAGTGGACAGGCCTGGAGGCAATATTCTAGGTGTGGCCGCAAGAACGCTGAGAAGAGCTTCACAAACACATCAGCAGTTAGGGTCCTAAAAGAGCGACGGATAACCCACAACATCCGGAAGCCTTTACTAGTCGCCTTTTTCTAGTTGTCTCCAGAGTGTAGTGCGGAACAGTGGAAGACACCTAGAGCAACCTGGTGAGTGACGTGCAGAAGTTCTATCCCATGGAGCACATAACTTGTGGGGGAAGCAGACGCTCCGATACGCAGCACTGAACACTTTGCCCGGTTTATGGGCAGCAACCACAATACAGACCATTCCCAGAATCTATCCAGAGCCCGTTGAAGAGCTACAGGACCTCCAGGGATAATAACGATTTTCCAGAGCTTTCGGTCATCAGCAAAATAGAGCGACAGTACCTCAAGCTCCTCCGGGTAAACTTGGACCACCCAGCTGGCACCACGTGGCGTTTGTTCGGTGTTAAAAGAAGTTGCTTTTACTCGTTTTGGGAATGCAGTCAATGCACTATCGAAGAATTAGAGGGGACCTAATCCTAACCTACCGTATTTTGACTGGGAAGGTTGGCCCTGATTTGTCCATGCTATTTTGTCCTGCTAGATTATCTGGTCTCCGCGGGCATTGTATGAAGCTGGACAAACCACGGTCCGATCGAGTTAGAGCGGAGACACGCTTATCGCGTCGAGTCATCGAGCGCTGGAACCTGCTTCCTGAAAATGTTGTCAAGGAAGCTACGGTTAAGGGGTTTGAGCGTCAACTAGATGCTCTTGGGTGGCAACACGAAACCTTTCCGTTTTCCTGACAAATTCCCATCTTCATACTTCGATTCTATTTTCTTTGCTTTTCCTCGTCATTGGCATTATTCTCTTCTTTTAACTGATTTCCCCTACTCTCTTACCTTCGATTCTCCTTCCTCTCTTACTTACTTCACGTAAGTGACACAGCTGGGACAGCTAATGTTAGGAACGTGGGCATTAAATTGGTGGACCAGGGTGTTTTTCAAGTGTTTTCCTTTTAGACCCATCAAGAAGTCGGAGCACCCCTATCAACTCCTGGATCGACGACCCGCTCAAGAAGGAACACTTACGGGATTCATCCTATCGTTCCAGTCCCACTTGAACTTGAACTTGAACTTGAACGCTTTGACCAGAACCGCTTTAATTGATCCAAGATATCTTGGATCAGAGGAAATTTGACAATAGTCAAACTTCGTTTCAAGTGTTTATTCAAACACTGTTTTCCACGTTAATTCAACTAAAAATCTCGATCAGTATGGCACGCCAAAAAGTCAAGTTACCGCGTAGCACTCACATTTTTATGTATCATTAGGTTAGTGAATATATTTGGCTTCTGCATTGTATTTTGACGGTGTTTTGCAATTTGCAATTTAATTTTGTTTAAATTGTTTATACCTTTTGGCGCTTTTCCCTTTGCTGCGTGTGACCTTCAGTCGCTAGTGTTACTTCGTTTGCTATGGCTATTAGGCCACTTCATACCCCAAAGATAATCAAGAAGCATCGCAAAAATTGGCGTCGGCATCAAAGTGACCTGTTCAAGCGTCTGGGAGATAAATGGCGCAAGCCTAAGGGCATTGACAACAGAGTGAGGCGTCGCTTTAAAGGCCAAGTCCGTATGCCCAAAATTGGTTATGGCAGTGCGAAACGAACAAAACATATTCATCCGGATGGTTTCAAGCATGTGCTGATCCACAATGTCAAGGTACATTCTTTTGGTTTAAAATCGATTCTTAGGAGTTGGAGGTTTTAATGATGCAGCACAGGACCCATGCGGCAGTAATTGCACATACGGTTGCGCGCAAAAACCGTGTCAAGATTGTGGAGAGGGCTAAACAGTTAAGCATCCGATGCGTTAACCCGAATAGTGGGTTACGATCCACTGAAAATGAATGATTCGTGTCGCTAATATATGGCTGTTTACTACTTTTCACTTCATATGTTCTTCGGACCTGTTCTCATTGAGCACTGCACTCCGTGCTCTTCGAGCTCCTGTCGGGGTCTACTACCTGGACAAGGTATTTGTCTCGTTTACTCCCCTTTTGCCTATTGGAGTAATTGACTTAGTTTAGACTGCGTCCCCAACTGTTACATTGGTTGTAGGATTTTTTTTGTAGCCGTGCGTTTCTTGTCGGACACGGCGAGGCCGTATTTAGCACTGACACTGCTCATGGTAAGGTCCGTTCAAGTCAGTGCGAAGACTTGATGTTTGTTATCTTAACTGATCTTGCTCACTTCGCGGACCAAATTTATCTCTACTCGTCTTTTATAAAAATCGAATTACTGGATGCCGCAGTAAAGTAGTCAAAGTTATGGGATCACAATTTGATTGCCAGCAAATTTTAACTTACGACATCAAGCGACCACGGGATTACAGTGCAAACGTCCACTGTGTCCCTGACATTGCAGTGTGCAGACAAGGCAAGAAACGCAGTACCAACAAGCTGTAAAAAACGACGTGACATGCATCTCCACCATAGGAAGGAGTTATGTATTCCTAAATCTGTTGGTTTCCTCCCTCCTGGCGACACTTAAAAAACGTGCTTGCGTAAAGAAGATACGAAGACTGGACACTGGCGGTTTTGTACCATTCGTATGTAAAGCGGATGGCTTGTCTAGGCTTGTTTACAATGGAAAGCGGTAGGTTGAGTATACCTGAATAAAGGGTCTCAACGTAGTTAATCCTTCTGACCTCTGCACTAGCTACGTCGAATGACTTCCTGGAACACCAGGTCCGGACTGGACATAAGAGCAAAGATTTTCCGGAATACCTTAGTGCCTTTCCAGGATCTAGTAAGGTGACACGATAAAATGCTATATAAGAAGCATTCATATCTAAATTTATCGACACTGTTTTCGGAACTGCACGAAGATCAATGGTTGTTGTATCAAATAGCCTGTGTCCGATACGATATCTTGCTCTTATTATTTTGGGTGTCTGAAGGAATAAGAAAGTATTAACGTCGAAGTGCCGAGGTCTCTGGTGCGCGAAATTGAACACTCTAGGCGAAGGCATGTTTCGTCTGTGTATGTACATCTGACCTGTTGCATATTTCGGCACTTCATTGGGTAGTATATAGCAGGCGGGCGATCGTTTCATCCTTTCTCGTTCATTACTGTGATGCTCGCGTCATTGCGCAACAGTAACTTCGGAGAGGTCGTAGTCGTTTGAAGAAATCCACCGTCTGTGCATCAGCGACGGACCGCGGTAACCGATTCCAGTCATTCACAACGCGCGTGGATAGAGCAAGGATGGACCGTAATTGAGCGTCCTTGTTTTGCATCTTTTCTGTCGGTGGCATCTAGTCAAACACCCAACGATGCGATGGAAGAATTCCCGCAACTCTCTCCCTAGCTCTCCGCTGAGGATACGTCGGGTAAAAATCAATTCCCCGCGACAGCGACAGTAATCGGTAGAAAACGTTCAAATGTCGAAGCCGAAAGAGATAAGGCAGGTCAGGTGACTCAGAGACAACTTCGATCTGCGCCGTTGAACCTTTTCAATCATTTCACGCTCAATTTTAGTAACCGAGTTGGAATCGGACGCACATGCGAGGTGAACAAGAGTCCAAAGAGTTCCGGTGTCATGCGGCGAAATGCTCTTCGGATGACTTGCAACATTCTGTAGGCAGCGGCAACCCTCTTCATGGTGTCCTGAGTGGATCTTAAGTCTGGGGAGACCTTTACGCCAAGATCTGTCTCTGAACTGACATCTAAAGCAAAAAACCACCTGTGGTAAGCGTCGAATGGTTCGGGAGCGCCAATTATCAGGACAGAACACTTATCTTGATTAATGGGTAAGCGCCACTGAATCGACCGATTCTGTAAAAGATCAAGCGTCTCTTGTAATCAGTCAGCATCTTCTAAAGATTATACCTTCGATATCTTTAGATTATTCGCGTAAATCAAGCAATCCAAATAAAGCTAAAACGGCAAATCGTTGATGAGTATGTTGAAGAGCACAGAGCCCTGTGGGGCACGGCTGGTCAAATGTACAAGATCGGAATACATTTCGTTCACTTGCACCAGCGTGGAGCGATTGTTCAGGAGATCGGAAATCCAAGTAAGTTTCCAGTTACGCCGGTTCGTTGGAGTTCATTGAGTTGTAGAGAGCAGGAGGGAAATCCCTTGTCAGCCCCATCGATTCCGTATCATACTGGGTTCGATGCGTGTCGTTGCATTACGACGTTCCTCGAGAGTTCGTCGAGATTGCAGTGACAGCCGCAAGATTCCAGCATTCTCAGCGAATGTTTGTCTAGCAGCCGCTTGAAGCTTTCATCGGATAGCGGGTCTGCAATTTCTTCCGACAGGCTGTTCCACTCATTCACCACTAGTGGATAGGGTGACGTCCATGTAAATTCTGTGTCTTCTTTACTTAACTAGTTTCCATATGTGACCTCGTGCGGAACAGTCAGTGTTGGGTCGGAAGAATTGTTGTAACTCCAAGTTGTAACTTCCAAGTTCCTCTCAGAGGATGCATCTAGTTAGATGAGATCACCCCGGCAACGGTGGAGCTCAAGGGAGAACAGATTTAGCTGCTGGAGTCGAATGAGGTACGGAAAATCACGTTGCCCCAGAACAGCTTTCGATGCACGTCTCTGAACCTTTTCCAGCAGTGCGCATTCAAAGCGGGTGGATAGATGGTAGGCCATATTCTAGGACTGGACGGACGTACGAAGGGAACATTGGAACATTGTATTTAATGGGAATAAAAGCTGGAGTTTTACATGACCCATAGGGTAAAAAGAGTACGGGTCGGGTTTAATGAAAGGCCAAGCAACCTTATAGCGGGTTGGACTCGCGTGTTAGCCGTATCTTCATCGGGCTTATGTGGCATTTAAACAGAATGCACGCCGGCTCAAAGCGAGACATCCCACCACGCCCTCCGAAACGGCTTTGTAAAGGAAGGTGGAAGAAAAAAAGAAGAAAGAAATTCCATCCAGTAGAATGTAGTTAAATTAGGGAATATCGCGGTGTAGCTCGACCAGATGACAGTCCAAGCGGGCCTTGAAGTCCGCCACAGTGGGTGCCAAGACTAAATCGGCCGGCAGAGCATTCCACGGTCGGCAGATTCGCAAAGAGAAGTAGTGTCGTCTGCAGTTCGGCCGACTGTGCTGATGTGTGAGCCTCAGTGGGTGGCCACGTAGGTGGGAGCCCGATTGGTGCAGTGTGAGTAGGTGGCGACAGGGATGTCCAGGGTTGGATAAGATCATGAATACGAGGATCAGGTCGCCCCGTAGACGTCGGTACTTAAGCGAGTAGAGGCCCAGGCACTGAAGTCGTTGTGGATAATCTAGGTGCTTGAGACCTCGGACCAGTTTGGTTGCTCGACGTTGTGGGGTTTCGAGTATGCGTTGGTCCTTCAACAACCAAGGGCTCCAAGCCTGAATAGCGAACTCCAAGTGGGGTCGGAGAAAAGCGTTAAGGAGGAGGCGGAAATTGCTGGGGTCAATTTGACCGAAGGCTCGTTTCAGCAATCCCACCATGCGGTTAGCAGCAGCAGCTGCTTTCCGGCAGGAAGCGGATACGGAAAGACTCGTCTGGGTAATGATACCCAAGTCTCTTTCGGCTGAAGAGATCTGGAGGATAGACGCTCCCAGTTAATATACAGGAGAAAAAGCGGAAGGGCGGGTAGAAAGGACGCGACATTTCGAAGCGTTAAATGGAAGGTTATTTTCTATGGACCACTGATTTAGACGGTCGAGATCCATCTGAAGTGCGTGGGCATCGTCCGGAAGGTTAATTGTGCGCCACAGCTTGGCGTCATCCGCGTATAGTAGCAGCGAGGACTCCACTTGCGGTGTGACGTCGTCAATGAAGGCTAGGAAGAGGTGCGGTCCGAGAACAGACCCCTGTGGAACTCCGCTTGTGGCAAGGATGCGGGGAGACAACGCTCCGTCGACGCGTACTTGGAAGGTACGGTTTTGGAGGTAGTTCCGGATCCAGTCCATCAAGTCCCCTGAAACGCCGTAAGATGACAGTTTCCGCAGCAGAATCTTGTGGTCGACCTTGTCGAAGGCTTTGGCGAAATCCAGAAAGATAACATGCGTTTCTTGGCCAGAGTCGGCTGCAGTGGTCCAGCTGTCCCTGGCAAGTAGCAGGTTACTCAGGCAAGACCGCTGAAGCCGGAAACCGTGCTGGCAATCAGAGAGCAGTTTCTGGGTCTCCATGTGATCCGTTAAAGCGTCTGCGACGATCGATTCCATCACTTTGGAGATCGTAGATAGGAGAGTTATCGGTCGGTAATTGACCGGATCTTTTCGAGTACCGCCTTTGTAGATTGGTGTAGTAGTCCCACATTTCCAATCATTGGGAACTTTGCTTTGCAAGAAGAAGTGGGTGAACAGCTCCGCTAGGGGTAAAGCTAGAGCTGCAGCGCACGCTCGCAAGAGCCGTGGGTGGAAACCATCAGCGCCAGGAGAGGCCGTTAGCCGCAGGGACTTGAGTTTCGCCAGGACCTTCTCCGGAGTGAAATGAACAGTCGTCAGGGAAGTTGAGAGTGAAACCGAAGAGGGTACCGTCGTTGTGTGCAGTGATGGAACGGAGAATGTGGATGCGTACTGCTTGCACAGAACGTCCGCTGCCTCGGTAGCTGATTTCGTGAGCCCTGTGGGGGTCGTCAATGCGGTGACACCGTGTTTGACTTGTCGAAGACTATTGACGTGTCTATACAAGGCTTTGGGATTGGATGAAAATTTACGCATAAGTTGACGCTGGTGCTCACTCTTATCTTCTCGTACAAGATGGACGCATTGGTTACGGATGGATCGGTAATATTCCCACTGAGTGGCCGTTGGATGGGAGCGATAGTTTCTCCATGCCGTGTTCCTGGAGGCAATCCATTTCCGTGTACGACTTCGGATGAGTGCTGGGCGTCTCTTTCCTATGGAAACTTCTTTGCAGGTCGTCGTAGTGGAGCAGAGTTCACGTAGAGTAAGGCAAAAGCTTGACCACACGCTGTCGGCGCTCGATTGGGGGTTGGGTGACCAGTTGTTAGCGGAAATGAGAAGGTTCAACTTTCCGTAATCAGTCCAGCGTTTGGTATAAGTTGGCGTGCTGACGAGTCTTTCGGCGAAGCATATAAAATCGAAACGGAGGACGCAGTGGTCGCTAAGCCCCAAAGGGGCATCATACTCAACGTGCTCAACCATCAGTTCTTCGTTAGCAGGGACGGTTGGTTGTTGGATCGGAATCTGGTCGGCTGATACGTGTGGTTGTACAACGGGGCCGTGTGAAGAAGATCAATGAGGCCTGATGCAAAGGAGTTTGTAGACGGGACAGAGTGAAATAGACGGGGCAGATTGAAATCACCCATAATAAGAAAGTGTGTGCGCTTGTGGGATAACATAAGGTGGACGTCGTGCAGTAGTCGTGCATCCTTCTCGGGAGAGTTGTTTGGGGGGCGGTAAATGATACCAAGACAGCTGGAGTGTTTGGTGGTTAGTACGACCTCGCACCACATGGTGTCTGGAGACAAAAGTCGAAAAATATCAGGAGTCATTCGAGCGAATCAACTCCTTAAGGCACCCACCAGTCTCCTTCCAGTAGTCACATTCAACGTGTCCTGAATCGTTCTAAGGTCAGAAGTCACGATAACCCCGAAATCTCTCTCGTGCGTGGTATTCCTGAGGAGAAACCCACCATTGTGGCATGCACCGTACGGTTCAGTGCTACCCATTGGGAGAACAGCGCATTTATCTTGGTTTACTGGCAATTCCCACTTGATGGGCCATACGTGTTGCTGGTCTAAAGCCCCTTGTAATCTGTCCGCATCCTCAAAGCTGAATACTGTTGACCATAGCTTGAGGTCATCGGCGATTCGAAGTGCAGTCGGCAGATTGTTAATGTCCAGTTTGAAGAGCTCTGGTTCAGTTTACTTCAGATGGGACTGGAACCATAGGAGAATCCCGTGAGTGTTCCATCTTGAGTGGATCGTTGAGCCAGGAATTGATAAAGTGCTCAGTTCTTGATGGATCTAAAACGGAACACCCGTATCGCACCTTGGCCAACCAGTTAATGCCCACGTTTCCTGCCCTAGCAGTCCTTGCTGTGGCAGTCACGTGAAGTAAGCAAAGGATAAGAAGAGAAATCGAAGGTACAGAATAAGGAAGCGCATGTAACTAAGAAAATAATACCAATGCGTGAAGAAAAGTAGAGAAAAGAAAATCGAAGTACGAAGATGCGAGTTACTCAGGAAAATGGAAAGGTTTCATGTTGCCACCCAAGAGTGTCAAGTTGCCGCTCAAACCCCTTAACCGTAGATTCCCTGATAACGCTTTCCGGAAGCATGTTCCAGCGGTCGATAACTCTGCGTGACAGCCGAATTTCCGCCCTAATCCGATCGGACCGCGGTTTGTCCAGCTTCAAGGAATGACCGCGTAGAACAGACAATCTAGCGGGACTAAATAGCCAAGATAAATCTGGACCAACCTTCCCAGTTAAGATACGGTAGGTTAGGATTAGGTCTCCTCTAAGCCTTCGGTAGTGCATTGAATGCATTCCCAAAATAAGTAGACGCTCGGGGTACGTCCGTCCCCGTAATCTCTCGACTAACCTAGTACCCACCCGTAAAATCCTCTCTAGCTCCATTTTGTCCCGGACGAGGCAGGGCGGACAAGCCTGGACGCAGTATTCCGGATGAAGCCGAACGAAAGCCGAGAATAGCCTCGTAACGATGCCTCCCGTCAAGACTCCGAAAGAGCGTCAAATTAACCACAACATGCGGAAACCTCTGCTTGCGGCGTTCTTCCAGTTGTCGCCGGAGTGTAAAGCCAAAGAGTGTACGACGCCTAGGTCAAGCTGGCTAGATACACTGGGGAGTTCGACCCCACCGACCACGTCCTTCGTAGAAGGACAACCTCCTCCAATTCGAAGAACGGAGCACTTTGCTTGATTTATGAGCAGTAACCATCAAGTAGATCAGTCCCAAAGCTCATCCAATGCTCGCTGAATAGCTTCGGAACCCCCAGAAACATCGACAGTGTTTCACAGCTTCAGGTCATCAGCAAATAGCAGCGATGGTGCCTCAAGCTCCGCGGGTAGGTCATTCACATAGAGAACAGCAGCGGTCCAAGGACCGAGCCCTGCGGCACGCCACTGAGGACAGACTGCCTAAACGATAGGCTCCGGCCTACCCGTACACACTGTTCTCTACCCTGCAAGAAGGCAGTCATCCAATGAAGAGCGCGGCCAGATACCCCGTAAGAGGACAGCATTTTAGCGAGCCTCAAATGGGGTACCTTGTCAAATGCCTTCGAAAAGTCGACGAAAAGCACGTCCAGCGGGTGGCCGTTATCGGCTGCATCCGCCCAACTTTCGCGAGCCACCAACAGATCCGTCAGACACGAAAATCCCTTCCGGAATCCGTGTTGTACATTGCTAAGTAGATTAAATCTACTCAGATGACTCTAATGAATGTCTCAACAGTTTCTCGAGGAGTTTGACTACTACACTCGTCAGACTAACTGGCCTGTAATTTGCGGGCAGAGCCCTGTCCCCATGTTTGAAGATGGGACAGATGACATCTTCCTTCCATTCGGAAGGCAATGCACAGCTGTCAAGCGATTTCTGAAACACACTAGCGAGCGGTCCACTTAGTTCCGCAGCCAACTCATGTAACAGTTTCGGGTGAATTAAATCAGGCCCAGTATCCTTAAGAGGGTTGGACACACTTGATGATATGGCTAGGAGCCGACCTCTGTGCCATTCGTGCTGAGTTTCTTTGTCGCAACTCATCCCTCTTAGTCTCCCCTTCCAACCACGATCTCACTATTTAGCCTTATGTAATTTTGCATGGTAATGTTTTTGATGCACAATAGCCGGCTGGTAGCTTACCGGAACGATGCCCATCCGTTACCGGTAGCACAGCCGCCTTACATCAGTTGCAATTTTTCTCCTTTTTTTCTTCTGGGTATTGCGGCACAGTAGCTGAGGTGTTTCCCACCTCTAGCTAACGTGTATGATGATGATGATGATGATAAACTGGCCCTAGCGATCCGTGTTATTCGTCAGCTGAACTCATTCTGCAATTATACTACTTCACAGCATATGTGCGTCATTTATCGTTAACGAGTGCAGGTAAACCACTCTAATGTCGATTAAAGTCGGTCATAATTTTCCATGATGGTGCAGTGCTCATATCCGCTGGGAACACCATGTGGGCAGTGAGCGGGTTCGACGCTCCGTTTTTGGCACAGGGAATAGTAGTGAACCGCTCCTCACCGTTATATCACGCACCAGGCTCCAATGGCTGGACCACGTGTTGCGCATGCCAAGCCACCGACTTCCGCGACGTACGTTATTTGCGCGCCGGGGGTGTGGATAGAAGAAGAGGAGACGTGGCCATGCTATGAATTAGTCAAGAGGAACGAAGGCCCTTAGTTCGAAGATGGCGTTGGTTGGAGCCTCTCGGCTCCCTGGTTGGAGTCCGAAAGACTATCACCACGTTTGGCTGGATACACTTGTTGATATAGCTAGTAGTCGAATTTAGTGGCGTTCGTACTGTGCGTTTCTTTGTCCCTCCGCCTCCCACCATGATCTCATTTATTATGCATGAAATAACCTTTTTTGCCGCACAACACGGCTGTTAGCTCTCCGAAACGATGTCTATCCTTTACCGGTGAATCAGCCGGCATGCTACAACATCATTTCCTTTTCTAATGTTATGCGGCATGATAGCTGTAGTGTTTTCTATCTCTAGCTAACATGTACAATAATATAGTTACAGTACAATTCGTGTAGCTCCGTTTGAGTACCGTATCTCTATAGCGTCTGTTAGCTTGCCTACATCAAGAAAGGCAACTTGATCTAGCTGTTTCTCCTGATTCATCTGTGGCACCCTGTCAAAGGATCTAGATGCCACAGCATGGATCACCCTGAATCTAAACGCCACGCGATGGTTTACGCGCCTAAACGATTTATTGTGCTGTACTGCGCAGTGCCTTTTACACCTTCAAAACCACTCAACTCAACTTGGACCATGGTTACAAACCGGACAAAGTCGGTCTTCTGGTCACTGCATATATTGAGGTTTGAGTGACGTGGGCACCACTTCGTATATCTCCAAAAGTCGTGTGGATACACAAACCGTCGAACCACGTTAAGGTCGTCTCGTTGCGAAAAGAGCCAAAATTATTGGTTCAAACGAAGAAGTGAAGTTGAAGGCACCGGAAAGAACGAGAAGACGAGAAGGCTTAAACAATAATGTCCTCATTCCCATTCAACCTGCTTGCTAAAGTAGTTAGGGTAAGAACGCAACAGCATCAATAAATTTTTTTTATTGTACTGCATGAGCAGGATTCTGTCAGTTTTCGCAGGCAAAGATGAGAGAACAATTAGAGTTCACAACAAAAGCAAACGGCTCATAAACCTGATCGGAAGGCAGTAGCTATTTGGTAGTGAAAATAAAAATAACTAATGTACCATCTGTACGCCCTAACAGCGTTTCGCTGCCGCGCGACCACCACCAGTTGCGCGCGGGCTAAGTATACAGCGAGGACGCCGCCCCTACTTGTTCGACCTGGTAACTTTATGACTAAACCAAATGTGCAGACCACTCGACCACCGGCCGACATAGACGTCAGATTAACTCTAGACTCGTAGTTGAAAATGGGATGTCGTACATTTATGTGAAACCAGATCGCCACCATCTCCCCCTTCAAGCCAAATCCTTTGGTTGCAAGCCTTGATCATTTTGTTTAGATTTGTGTTCCGTGGCAATATCTCAGCCCACGTACAACCATGTCATGCATCGGGGATTCCAGCAGGGTAAATGTGTACAAACATTACAGTAGCATGTTTGTCCATCTTTTCTCCCTCGATTCCAATTGCAAACGTTTTACGATTTCCAAACTAATCGACAGCAGCTGCAATACCACTGCAGCTATGTTTACCCATCGCCAAATGGACTCCTACAAGCCACAGCCCTTTATAAGGCCACACTTTTTATTCCGTTTGGTGATATCTCAAGCTGACCACCCAAGGGACTCTACCAAAGTGGTCAACATACAAAGCTTTGAATTCAGTTAGTTTGAATGCTGAACGTCCAAGCAATAAAATTATCGGTGTTCAGGATATAGAGGTGGTCAACTTCGGAGGTTTTGTGTCAGCAGGCTGCATTTTTTGACACCATGAGTATCGATGTTTATTACTTGTCCAATACGGATTAATGATATGTGGTTATTGAACTAACTGCATCCGTCTTGTACTTTCGCGATTGGTTGCACGTGTCAAGACGCTGATGTGGCGGTCACTGATCGAGCTGGGATGGATATCACTCTCAGCTTCAAAGCGGAGTCATCGTTACTTGCTTGAATCCCCATATGCATCCGTCTAACGACATCGACTAGGTGGTGCTTTTGGTGGCCGTCGCTTATACCCCTACCGACTACCATTTTTGGTGGCGCCAAATATACCGATTACGCTGCTTTGGGGCGTTGCTAATTTAGATATCTTTATTATTACTTGGGAATGTGATTGCGCAAACAGGTCTCTGAGCTCCTCAGTAGCTGTGCTAGGTGGCAAGTTTTGGCCTACTTCCGGACTGACGGACTATAAGTCTGTTACAATCGTGTGCTGAGCACTAGTTGTCTCTTATCGGCACCGTTTTTAAGAACAGTGAGAGCCGAAGTGCTACTTGGTTCCCCATATGGCGAGACCGATAATGACCTAACTAAATTACATTGCCATAATTTGCAGGGGGCATGGTTCCGTCATTGGTTGTCGGTGGTTCTGCATAACCTGCGTCGATTAATCATGCTTTGGTACGCTGTCCTTCATGAAATCTACCCTTAAGCTTAACAATTACTGTATATTGTCCATGGATTTGATCTCTGGTATGGCGTTTAGTCACTGGCTCCAGACGAATGCGGAACAGGCGAATGCGCACACTTTTGGATTTCCATCTGATCAGCATGCCTTGGTCTTGCTGTTTTCAACGCGACTGCAACGCCCTCCCCCTGTGGAACCCCGTTTCTGAACGAGTCGAGGCGTCCGCACAATGATTAGGAACTGCCGGAGCTGACAATGGATCTCACTTCTGCTCTCTACAATCCAATTAGACTGCCATCCCGGAACTCTTCCGTCTTCCCTCCTGAAATATGGAATGCAGTACAAACTAACAATCTTCCAATTATGTACATTACTG